TCTGATACTCCCATTTCATATATAATAATAATATGACCTTTAACATTATTATTAATATATTTTATAGCTTTTTAGATATGTTTATACTTTAAAACTAGTTTTATTCAGTTTATTAAATGCATTTTATGCCTTCGATCATTACGATCACACTTATTTATAAATGAATAAATGCTCTGAGTCTTGGTATGAAAACTGTTAATTATTATTACGATGATTCTAGGTAATCTGGGATAATAAATTAAAATTAATTAGTTTATTAATTTAATTTTTAAAGTAGTAATTTTCATCCATACAATTGATAATATTTATATTCATACATATTTCGTTGTGTTTATTAAAAATTGAATGGTAAACTTATCTTTATAGGTATTTTAGTCGGTTTTTAAATGGCTTTAATGGCATATTATTTTGATTTATAACAAATTTTTATTTTAAATAATAATTCTATAAATATTTTCTAAAATAAAAAATTCGTTTTTAAACAACCTCAATATGACAGTAAAGGAAGAAAACGTGAAAATTTATGAAGTTATTATTTACTGAAAATTGTAATTTTCCCCAAAATTTTCCGTTCCATTACAACATAAATGTTCAAAACATTCATTCATTATATTCAATTATTTTATTTTATTACTGTGAATATTCTATAAACAATTTGTTGCTTGAATTATTTAGTAAATCGCCAATTTTAAAATACAATTTACTTATTTACTATTATACAAAACTCGATTATTCTATCAATTATTATCAGCTTAATATTATCTAAAATAAATATTTGATTTTCAAGGCCATTCTTAATTGTAATTTTCATTAAAAACAATCAGTTTCAATTGTAATTTTTCTCTTTAATTATAATTAAAATGTAACTGATCAATTTTAATTTTAATTACAATTAAAATTGAGCTTGAAGGTCGACGTAATTAATATTATAAAAAAATTTTATAGTCTGATTAGTCATTAATTGTGATTTAATAATTGAATCCTTACATTATAGAAATAATTTATTTTTTATGTGTACTTTATACATTTCCATTTATAATATAAATCTAATGGTAAAGAGAGATGAGTGTACCACAGGAAGTTTAGCGTAAAAACTTTAGTGTGACATCTGGATACGGAGCCTTATTTTATGGTCGGTTAGTCATGAGTTTCGAAGCATGACCATTTCTGGCCACGTGACAAACATAGTTCCTTCTTACATCGGCTATTCATGACGTTCTCTATTGACACCAATGATAAATTTGCTCTCATTTTTACCATGTAATCCAAAAATGCCAGAAACAACAGTAAGATTTTTATTCGTTGTGTTACACAGTTCAAACGATAAAGTGGTACTTAAGTCCTACTTCAAAAATCTTAGTTCTTTCGTTGGTTTTTCACTCATGCGTAACTTAAGATAAAAATTTACCTTACAAGAAAATATTACATGTTTAATTCTTAGTTAATAGCATAATTCTCTCAAATCTTGATAAGTAGAAAGTTCTTAAATTGAAATGAAAGTGTAACTAAAGGGATCAGATTCGGTTGAGCCTACCTCATCCTAATTATTAATCATATATAATAATAATATGACCTTTAACATTATTATTAATATATTTTATAGCTTTTTAGATATGTTTATACTTTAAAACTAGTTTTATTCAGTTTATTAAATGCATTTTATGCCTTCGATCATTACGATCACACTTATTTATAAATGAATAAATGCTCTGAGTCTTGGTATGAAAACTGTTAATTATTATTACGATGATTCTAGGTAATCTGGGATAATAAATTAAAATTAATTAGTTTATTAATTTAATTNTGAAGCAACTAGTATCACGGTACACGTATTAAATGGTGAGTCTTTACTTATCTTCTATCTTTCATTGAAAAGAAAAGAAAAAACAATGAAAAAATGTATATATATTTATTTATATCTGCTATTCTTAACGTATAAATCTATATAACTTTGGTGTAACAGGAGAAAAATCAGCAGCCATGCAGCACGACGGTAATCCTAGTCATTCATCCAGTTCATCTTGGAAGATCAGTGGATCGACAATGATAATCCAGCTTCTGGCAATTGCAGCAGTATCTATAGTATCGAGATGACGTGATGAAGTGACATGAAGCAAAAGGGGACAACGTCCACAGTTGGTCTGTCCAGGACATGATAGGTCGCGATGGGACAGAGAAGCAACCATTACAGGGAATGTCGTTGCGTTGTTCCGCAGGCGGCGAGTTTCCACTCCGCCCAATTTGTGAAGAACATATAGAAATGGACGTTGCTGATCGAAGCCTGTATAGCTTCTATCGTTTATCGTTGTCTGTTGTTAACGGATTTAGATACATTCTCGCGTAACGTATCGGGATCGTGTACAAGAAAGATAATTATGTTTTCTATTGGATACGTTTATTCGATAACAATTTAATAATATATATATATAAATATATATAAATATCTATATATATATAAGAGAAAAAATACTAAAATCTTGTATAGAAAAAACGGATGTATTATAATGTTTCTTATGTACAAACGAAGAGAAAAAAAACTGAGAAAAAAAAAGAACTGTATTTAAGAAATTATACTTAAATGCAATTAAATTAATTTACAAAGTTTTGTCTTCTCATTTTATGCTAAATTAACAATTTTAGATGATGCCTCCATTACATATTCTTAAATTAAAAATTAAGCACTGAATTCATCTTTAAGAAAAGTCTCTCATATAAGTTATTACTGTAACGGGGTATGAATTATTTAGCATTTATTAATCATAAAAATGTCATCGAGATCCATCAGCATAATTATGCATATAAAGTTTTAATAAATTATTCATCAACTTTTGGAGTAATAATAATATAAAATTAATATTTTTGTTGATGAAGTTTAGTAACAGGAAAAAAAATTTATCTTTAATCAATCAAAAGGAAATTGTTCTGTTGTATGTATGTACAGTACACTACCAGATCTACCCATTTCCCCCACATTCCAATTAAGCATAACTCGTCTTCCAATTTACTATCTTATACTTGTGGGGATTATCTAACGTCATTCTTATTGGGTATAATAACATAACAAAAAAAATAAAAACTAAGAATAAATGTAACAAGGGAACGTAGAGGTTGAGGAAAGCTCATTCGTAGTCGAGAGATCTTACAGTACTGAAAAGCTAGCGACGTCGTAAAAGCTGAAGGAGAAGATTGCAGAGCACCAAGTTTACGATTTTATAGCGGATAAGAAATAGCATACGTGCCCCGCATAGTGGGAATGATTTTGAGAAGAAAAGCCTCCCTTCCCGAAAAAATACCTTCTAGCATAAAACGTATTCGTCAGATATACAATGGGTTCTCTGTACTATACCTATACTGTCATGGCTGCTTGACCGAAAATTATCGCATCTTACTTCTTCCTACTGTCAGAATTTCATAACTGTCTAAATATTTACACCGTCTAAATAGCTACATATTTCAATAAAAATGAATGAGAAAGTCATAAAATAAATATTTATACGTATATTTTTGACTCTTTGTTAAATATAATAATACTTTTTAAATGTACCTATGTTTATCGACATAAATTTGAATTAAGTCCGTTATATCCGTGGTAAATATAAGCTGATAATTATGATAATTATTTGTAATTTTATAACATGAGATATGCCAGATAACGATTGTTTCTCTAGGTAAATTGCATTCATTTTCATAAGATAATTGTAATAGATTCCAGTGAATAATTATGAATAGTTTTATTATATAATTACTATAAAGTAACGATTACCAATCAGTAATTATGATCAGTTTTATTAAATAATTGCAATTCCTTTCACCGGATAATTGCGGTCAATTTCACTTCAAAATAGAATGTTTCACTGTATAATTACGATCAATTTCACTATTTAATTACAATTAATTTCACTTATTAATTACAATCAGTTTCAGTAAATAATTATAATCTATTTCAACAGATGATCGTGTTCAGTTTCAATCAAGATCAATAGAATTGATCAAAAATAACGTTATTTAAACTATTATTGATGCGATTTATTTTATATTGATGAATAAATCGATTTAGTATAAAATTAATACATTTTTATGAAGGAATATTTCCACGAATAACGATTTACAAGTGTGACATTAAAGAATTAGATTTAATCCTTCAGTAGAATTAATCAAGGTGAAAATATAAATTTAATAGAATTAAAACATTTAAATCGAATTATCTCTTAAGTTTAAAAAGTGTTAATTATCAATGTAATTAATTTTAATCGCAATTTTTACAATATTTAAAAGAATATTTAACACGCATATCACTCGAAACAAAATATAAAATGAACAATTTTAAAACAAACAAAATATTAAAATTTACAAAAAACAAATTAATATTTAAATTGAGAACAATATTCAATAGAATATATAAAAATATCAACACGATTTTTAACATATTAAATCTGAAAACATGAAATTTTCCATACATACCTATTTAATCTTACTGACATTATTATTAAAAAAACAAAAAAGGAAAACATTTTGCAGGTTGTAAGAACTTTAAACGAGTTCCTTACCTGAATCAATTAGGTTAAGCAGAGGAACAAGTACTGTAGTTTAGAAAATTTGCAGTAAAACGAATTTCTCCGCATCGATCTGTGGAAGAGCTTCTTTATTCTGTGTATATGTGTGTATGTGTGTGTGTGTGCTCATCTCCTGACCGTATTATCGTAGAATACCTTAATCAATACTGACCACACGTTCATTAATCATGTATGTATCCAAAACTCCTTGCTGTAGTAAAGAAAAGATTCTTGAAAAACTCCATTGAAAGCCAAGAATCTGCCTTTCTTCGATTTTTTCTCCTACTTATTCTGTCCTCAATATGTTGATAATTTTATTGTAAAGAATTTTTTTTGAATAGGAATTTAAGCAAAAATTAACTAATAAATTTCTTTATCGTCACGTGTTTTTAATCAACAAGAAATTAGAATAATTTCTCATTCATAAATATTTATAAATAGAATAAAAAATACATATCGACTAAAATTAACTGTAATAAATATACGATACAAAATTCATTATTTTCTTCAATATTCTTCGAAATTATTAATATTTAAACAATCTTTTATCTATTTTGTTATCTTTTCTTGGAAAATTCTATAGATTTATTGGTTTGTTTTAATTACTTATTAATGAAAGTGAAAGGAAATAGTTCATATGTTAGTTGTGCGTATTATGTTTCATTAATTCGTATGCTTGGATAGAATAAATTACGAAACGAACTTGAGTACAAATAGTAATTATCTGAAAGAGATTATTAAAACAATTACTTCACTTAATGTTAGTAGATAATATGTAGGAAATAACTCATAAAGAGAATCATAGAGAAATGATAACTTTTATCGAATGTGGAAATGGAGAGATACTTTATTTAGCACACTATTACTAAGAATAGATGCATCATCGATAGCTTTGTATCTAAATTTATTAAATTGATGCAGAAAATTAAGCATTTAGTTATATATTTAACAGTTCATAATTAAGAAATTTTAATTTTCTTAACGTTATTTTCAAGTTACAAAATGGGGGAGGGAAGTGAATTGCGAATCTTTACTCTCACAGGTTCAAAATTATCTAAACCGTGTACTTTTTTCCCCCTAAACTTGAGCATATTTCTTACGAGTTTCTACACGATATGCTCACTTTTTTCTAAAGTCCCATGTTATTTTTGGTGGCATGTGCATAAGTGAAAGATTAGTGAGTAAGGCGATTGATCAAGAGTGACGAAGAGCAGGAGACAGGCCAAGTGGCTCCACTGGCCACAGTAGATGAGACGTGAAGAAAACGAAGAGAGATTAGCCGATCTAGAGGGACATTTAATCGGCTCGGTCGTAAAGGAAGTGGACCGGAAGATGGGGCGAAAGTTTGTAGCCTTACGAAGACTGGTCAGGAAGAAGGTGACCGCTGGATCTAATGAAGCGGATTAACACTCGGACAGGTCGCATTTTATCCATTTACGACCAGGTGAGTTATTATCTGGATGGGCATTTGGCCCAAATCTTAATAAAACTATAAAGAAAAATACATGCAAAAAAAAAGAAGTTTAAAAATTACAGTTAGAAAAAGAAGATTGTAAAGATTCAACACTTCTTCGCATTAATAACTGATGTGCATATCAAAATAGGGGACTATAAAACAGCTAGATTAAACATCACACACCTTTTGATTGAAATCTCAAACTTTGTTGTAGATTTAACAACGTATTTTCAGTTTTATTTTGTGAAAAAATTTAAATATTTCCGGGAACTTCTTTATTACTTTTAGTGTAATAAATTGAAAAGGATCATAACTTCACTCTTTCTAACCTATAGCAAAATCTATACATTATGCAAAAATTATTTTCTACAGTTTTTAATGTTTAAAAATGTAAACAAAACTTTATTTTTAAAAGAAAAAAAAATAACCAAAAAATTATTCACGTTAATCATTAAGAGAGTAATAAATTAAACTTTCCTAACGACTTGTATGTATAAATTCTCATCATCGCTTCTTTGTAAGAAAAATAAAAATTAAAATAAATTAATAAGAGTTTTAGAAAAAAAAATAATAATAAATTAGTTATATAATATCTTTAAAAAATCAAGATAATTAATTTAACTATTTTTAAAATAATTCAATAAAAATTAACGATTTTTAAAAAATGTGCGAAAAATATTTTTCCCAATTTTTTTTTAAATAACATTTTGAAAATTATTTAATTAATTTAAATGAATTTGTTTAATTAATATATAAATTTAAAAATAAACCTTTA